TAATATTATACATAAAATTGAGCTAAAAAACTGTAAAAACAATTTTGTTTGTATTAGAAAGTCAAATATGTACGATTCTAGTAATACAACTATTGTTAATATTAGATTTAAAATATAATATAGTATAATACTAGTTATGTTATGCAGTTAAGAAAAAAAAATTGATTTAGTCAATTATGAATCAAGTTTCTTTATTTTGAATTATTCTACTCTGTATTGAATATTAATGGTATAGAAATATTTTGGTATATCATAAATTTCTAATAGTGAAAGAGCTAATACATGATAATTAAAAAAGAGTGAATGTATTTTTTAAATTTTTTTTATATTTTTATTTTGTACTTTAACGAGTAATGCATAGTCCTACAAAGAGTATTACGTAGGACTACGCATTACAAATTACCAAATAGGAAACAGCTAAAATTCTCTCCTAGATGGCGACATTTTGTCTTCTGGGAGCTTAAATAACAAACTCCGATTGGTTAATCAATAGTCTCGTAAAGATTTGATTGGCTAAAAGTCACGATTTTTCGGAAGAACTGCCGACAGCGACATTTGACTGGACAAAAACTGCCGACGGTGACATTTGACTCATCACATTTTTAAATTTAAATAGTAAATTTAACGATATTATTGGTTACTTCGGTTTTTTTGCCGATGGCGACATTTGACCGGACAGCGATTTTCATTCTCGGAGTTTACATTAACGAATAAAATTTGTTCTTTTACTTTAAAATTGTTTATTTTATTAAACGTTTAATTTTGTACATTATTATAAAATTAATAATTTATAATTTTTATTTAATATTATTTGATAAATATACAAATTCGAATTTATTACATATTAAATTATTATTTCATATTTAATGTTTTTATATATAGAAACGTATTACTCGTTACGTAAATACAAAATGATTGACATAAAAATTTCCTAATTTAGAATTTATCATTTTAACTCTATGTGAGTGGTTTTTGACCGGCTAAAATACTGGTTAAAACT